CTGCAATTGTAAAGACACTGCAGGCAGGATTGTTTATTTGTGAATACAATTATACAGAATCACACTATAAATATATTAACGTAATACAGATCAAGGCCAATGTTGTGAGGGTATAAAGTGTTCATTAAAAAGAGGAACAAATTCCAATGTAGAATAAGCAGTGTTAGACGTCATTTCTACTTGCATTTTGCCAGAAACTGGCCGGTCAAACTATTTTTCTGTCATTTCCCCATGATCTTGCCTTCCTCTGGTCCCAACCCATGAATTACAGCAGTATCGGTTGAATTCTGGGAGTTGAAGTCCGCTTATCTTAAAGTTGCTACGGGTTGAGAAACCCTGGATTAAAAGTAGTATTTTCCACAGATGCCATCTCTAAGGGCTGCCCTATGCTGCCTAAAATCTTTTAGGTTTTGTCATTCCTTGGAAGAGTATCAGGCTACCACCAGCCCTGATCCAAGGAAATCAAAAAGGAAGAGCAAAGGGCCCAGCAAATTACACGCAGCCAGGCGGTTCTTCCACCCTGGAGCAAATGTTACCACAATTTACTAGCGGGAAACGACCCCAAGGCCTCCGCTTCGGGGCTACTTGCTCCTTTGCGGCCCCTCTTCCTTTCCTGGGCCAAAGATTAAACGCACAAAACCTCTTTAGGTATATTTATGGGAGCGGAGACAAGACCAGCCTCGGCCTCTGGAAGGCACTTTCTTCCCTGGTCTTCGCAAGGAGGGCTTTGCTCTTCTCCAGCGGGACCCTCAGCCAGTCAGGCAGCCAGAAGGGAAATACAACCCGGACGTCTTCTGCGAGGGAGTCTCTCTCCCCGAGTCTGCTTTCTCCGGGAGAGCAAACCGGGGCTTCTCGGGAGGAGAAGCAAAACTTTAAGAGAAAATGCCGCCCGCGCTGCCTCCCCTGCGCACCAGGCCTCCTCCTCCTCCTCCTCTTTCCTCCTCGCCGCCGGACAGACACCGGGTTCAACCCTCAGGCGGCCCCGCCTCGTCTGTGAGCTCAGCGGGGGAGCGAGGCGGAAATCTCCCTCTCTGCGGGCCAAGCCCAGCCCTTCCTTGCCTGGAGCCTGGCAGCCTCTCCTTCCCCCTCCTCTTCCTCCCCCTTCCCCGCCGCTCTCCCCCCACCTTCCCTCACACGCTCGCTTTCTTCTCCCCCTCAGAGGCGCTTCCTGCGCGGCGCGGATCGGCTGAGGAGGGCCCAGCCGCTTTGGGGTTTGCCTCCGTCGGAGTTCAAGGTACCGGGAAGGGCGGCGGGAGGGATTGTGGCGACGGCGTCGGGGGGGGGAGGGGGGCCTCCTGCCGCCCGTGTCCGGGGCTGGCGGTGAAGGAAGGGGAGGGTGAGGAGTCCCGCGGAAGCCGCCTGGCGGACAGCGAAGGCGGGAGGGCTTGCTCGAGCCAACGGGCGGCGGCGGCGGCGACTGGAAAGGAGGAACGTTTCGCTTTCGGGGCTCCCGCTCGGCTCGGCTCCCGGCCGCGGAGAGGGCATAGGCGGTGGTGGTGGTGGCGGCGGCGGCGGCTCCTCACATTGCTGGGGAGTGAAGTCATCGTGGCCATTGTCTCCCCTTAGCTGCCCGCTGGGCGGCCAGAGGGGGGACCAGCCGCGAACCGTGGGGCCCGCCTTGTTCGCCGAAGCCGCCGGGCAGATTCCGTCCCCCCCACCCCAGACCGTCCCGAAGAGGTTGGTTCCTCAGGCTGTGCTCCGAGCCTCCCCCCCCCAGAGCATGCGAGGGGTCTCTTCGGGGAGAGCGAGTAGTCCCCGCGGATCGCAGGAGCACCCCGATAAGTTTTCCGGGAAAAGAACTTCTCAGCAATCGACGCCCTCTTTCCCGGCCGAGTCTCTGAGGCACCTCTCGCTTGCAGGAGGAGGAGGAGGGCGGCGTAAAGCAGCGCCACCTTAAACCGAAGCCTCTGAGTAACTGGGAAAGAAAGCCGCGCTTCCTACAAAATAGAATGGTAGCCCAGGCCAAAGAAGGAAGTCCATTCCCAAGTGACAGGGGGAATGTTTTCCACATTCAGCCTCAATTGTTAATTGAGGGCAGGGCCGAGATACAATAATCATTTATGTTTAGAAAGGCCGCTTCTCCTCCTTCCCCTAAAAATATACAATTACTTGAATTCAGGGACTTTCCCAATTTTTAAAAAAACAACCGGATGCATAACCGTCGTTGTAGTTCCTTTGGAAAACCTCTCAGGGTCATGCTTAAGTAACAATATTTTCCTGGAATTGTACAGTCACGCTTTAATTGGTAGTAAAGGAATACCAAATATTTCATTGGAAATATTTGGTATTCAAAAGGCAGATTAGACCAGCTCTTGAAATAGTTGACATTTTACCATGTTATTTGAATATTTTTTAACAGGTTTGGATGGTAACTGTGGTTTCAAATTGCCTTACAGAGACAATCTAGCAGTCTAGCATAGGTTGAAAAGGCAAAAGAGTGGAAGCAATGTAGGAATTTTAATGCTTCTATTTACACCTAATGTAAATGCTTTTTTAAAGCTTAGGTCAAATAAAAAAGCTGTTTGTGAAGTACACAGGATGTCAGCATAAAATAAGGTGGAATTTTCCTTTCCTTTTCATTAGTCAAACAGCTGTTGACTGTTCTGCTTAATAGAATTATTGGTAGCGTCTGTGTTAGAAACCTAAGTTTACGGAAGTACCTTCAATGATCTGGTTAGAATAATGCTGCTGTAGAAGCAAGAGTAAGTGAGAATATCCACATATAGTATTGTATAGTATAATAACCTATTGTTGGCAGATCAGCATTACCACCTTAAAATGTAAGTTTTGGTCTATTACGTCAATTCCTCAACCCAGGTCATCTTGATAGTCACTGAGAAGACAGTAAAAAAGTGAGTAAAAAAGTCGAAGGTGGTTGTTCAGGACTAGCAGTGTAGGAGTAATGGTTAATCTTAAATAGTTTTGTTTCTGTGGTTCTTTTTAAAACTGACATAAAGCATTGCTGAAAAATAGAAATAGAAAGCCTGGCTCAAACCGATTTACTAATATGAATAGTTGATTGGGAAACTTGTGGTTGGTTTGGAGACAATCTTGCAATAGTGATTGTTGCAAGATTGCTATACTAGAACTGAAGCCAAGTGCACCTCATTTCTTTATTCCAGTTCCCTGTAGAATTCATATGCTTATATAATTTAAGAGTACCAGGAGTAAACATTCTATCATGCATAATTTCTGTCTCAAACTACAAACTAGTTATTTGCACTTGTCCTAATATGGCAATGCAGTAATTAAATCAGAATTAGCATATTCATAGTATCAATTCTACATCTCAGAATCTGTGTTGTTAGTGGCATGCATAGTTAGATGGACTTTAAAAAAACTATGTAAAAGAGGGGATAAGTTGTTGACATAAATGCCCTTGAAATTTATAAGAACAAAATGTTAACATTCTTGGAAAATTGGCTTTTTGTTCTTATGACAGTGATATTGATAGTGAGATTTAAGAAATAAAAGGTGGAGAAATACTGCCTTAAATACTTGGGATTTGCACCTAAGTCATTGTGGTCAGAATTCCGTACATAGCCTGGAAGGAAATGTAAGCAAGAAATTCTTAAGGTGGCTGTTTCTGTGCTTTGTCTTTGAAACTACATTATCAAGAACTACAATACAAAACACTTATGAAAAGAAATTAAAATATTGAAACTGTGATTGCTTAAGTTACATGTGCACTTACCTGAGCACGTTATCTCTTTTTGGAGACATATCCATTTTATTTTAAATATGTATTCTACTTGCACAATAAATCTGCTTGCACATTTATTAATTTAAAGACTTTTCCTTTAAATTAGTGGTTATGGCTAACTGTGTAACATGACTGCCCCTCCTTTAATGCTTATCTAAAAGACATGACAAAGTTAAATGAATGGGAAAGAAGGAGGGGCAGAAATGAAGCTCAGACACCAGTGTTTAATCTGTCCACATATGGAAATAGTAGGTAGCTTGTTAGAATTACTATCCATAGGTAATAGCTTGTGGAGAAGCAAAGCTGGCTGTTTGCAATATGGAGATGATGGATAGTCTTTCTCTTTTCCTTCATTTTGCAACCTAATCAGGTGATTGGCAAATGTGAGAGGAAGTGTAGAAAGATACAGCACATTTTCTTATCTTTTTCTGATGTGACACGTGATTGTACTGTCCACATCTGTTTATGGCCTCCTTTCTCTGAATTGTTTAGCTTTCCATGGCTGTTTACAGGTATTTGCTTGGTTGGAGGAATATGGCCAACTTTGCAGAAAGTTAAAGATTATTTTTAGGCCTCATTTTCAAATTTCCATTCTTTAAAATATTGCAAGCACAATTGGTATTTTTATTAAATGCCAAGAAAAAGAAGAAAAGTTTTACTTAGTGTTTATTTGAATACCAGTCATGACTTTTCCATATTTCCAGTGTGCACTTGTCACCTTGTTTTTACAATATTGTCTGATAGAGAATTATTCAAAACTTGAATGCTTGAATGCCATTCATTAAGCTTGAACCAGACTAATAAAGATCTTCAGTATTGCTTGGATTTTTTTCCGCATCTGAGTAGATATTTTCATTTTTTGTGCAACTTGTAGTCTGGGCTTGGAAAATTAATAAGGTATATAATTAAAAAACCAAACTCTTGACATATCCAGTAACTTTACAGTTTTTTATGTCTTAAAGCAGGGTGTCAAATGCATTGTCAGCGCGGCATCACGTGACATATTGTGACTTCCCCCCTTTGCTAAACTGAGCATGGGCGTGGCCAGCACGTGATGCATCTGGCCTGCAGGCTGTGAGTTTGACAGCCCTGTCTTAAAGCAATCCAAACATTTTTGCATAATAATAGAGGGGAACTTCTATTTTATTTCTTTGTCTTCATTTCAGATCCAAGATTTGTTTTCATGTTAACTGGATAAGGTTTATTACATGGATGCACTACAAATTTGAGCATGATCTTTGAGATTCTATTGCTGGCTGGCACATGGAGGATTATTTCATTCATTAAGGTAATGTCTTGATTTAATTATATTAATTACTCTTCATTTTCATGAATTTAGGAATCTGATACTTTCTGTTTTGAAATAAAGGATATATGTTAGGAGTGTCAAACTGATGGCCCATGGACTGGATGCGTCATGCACAGGCCATGCGCATCCCAGTTCCACGAAGGGAAAAAATATTGTGATAATCACGTGATGGCAACATGACACACCGAGTTTGACACCCGTGATATATGTTGAATAAACAAATTATATTTAACATGTAGTTTTCCTGAAATGTGACACATTCTTGTTTAAAATCTCTGTGAAATTTTTACTTCTGTTTTTAATTTTTTAAGGTCTCTTATAATATACTAATTTATTATTATAGAATGGTATATAGGTTCTCCTGCTTGAGCAGGGGATTGGACTAGAAGACCTCCAAGTTCCCTTCCAGCTCTATTCTGATTGACTTATACATCTCTTGCAAATCCTATGCAGGCAGTTCTTGACTTGGGACTAGTTGTTTAGCAATTGTTCAAAGTTACAATGGCCACTGAAACAGATTGTATAAAAAGTTGCTCCACCAGCCTGCTATGACATGACATTTTGGGCACTTGGCAACTGGCTCATATCTGCAACCAATTCCCAAACAATCCCACTTGCAATCATTTGATTGCCATTTGCAATCTTCTCTGTTGGCTTTCCCAGAAAGTCAGTGGAGAAACTGGCAGGGAAAGTTGCAAGTGGAGGGGACCTGAAATCTTTCTACAAGCTACAAAATGAGTTGAAATCTTGTATGGAAGGGAAATTCTTTGGTGGGGTGCAGGATCAGTGTTGAAGTTCTGAAGATTTCAGCTCGTTCCTGCAGCCCCAAGAAGGATTTTCTGTCTGTGCAGAATTGCAGGAACATTTCAGGATGAAACCCTGTGACAGGCAGCAATTTCCCGCCATCTACTTCACTGTTCAGGAGTCCTGGGATTGTGGTTGTTGAGTGAAGCAATGATGCTTAATGACTGTTTTGCTCAATGACTAAGATGCTGATTCCAATTATGTTGTTAAACAAGGACTACCTGTAATGCTACAACCAGACTTGTTAAGATGTTGGTAGGACTGAAAAGAGAAAACAGTAGATTGTCTTGACAGGTCTACTTCTTGGCTATAAATATGCTAAAACTGTTTCACTTTGTGCTATAGATAGAATGCATGAAATGACCAAGCATGATTCTTGTGAGATATAAAGGAAAGTTTGAGTACAGGCATTAAGAATTAGAAGGGTGCTTGCTCAAAGCACCAGAGTTGCTTCTTAATCATTTAGCCTCTGAGTTGGAAATCTCCATTATGGTTCTAGACAAAGATTATGAGAAAAATAAGTGGTTGGTAAAATTTTGTTAACAATTTTATTCTCTAAATTGTGTTAGATTTATTTCAAGCAGGTGGCTGTCCAGTCTTTTCTTAAAAACCTCCAGTAATGAAACATCTATAACCATGATGGCGAACCTATGGCACATATGCCCAAAGTAGCATACAAAGCCATGTCACCTGGCATGCATGGCATCGCCCATTCCTCTTCTGCATTTCTGGCACGCATGCGCACTTGACGATCAGCTGGCATTCATGTGTGCAGCAGTGCCAGAAACTGGAAGAGGTGGTCTTCTGTTTTCCAGTGTAAACATACGCACTGGCCAGTTGGTTGTCGCATGTATATGCATGCCAGTAACCCGAGTGTGGCCAAAACTGGAAGTTCATTTTACAGCACACGCATGCCCCATCTTCTGGGTTGCGGCTCAGACATCCAATTCCCAAAAAGGTTTGCCATCTCTGACCTATAACTTCTGAAAGCAAGCTGTTCCATTGGTTACTTGTTCTCACAGTTAGGAAGTTTCTTCTTGATTCCAGGTTGCTTCTCTCCTTCATTAGTTTCTGTCCATTGTTTCTTGTCTTGCCTTCTGACGCTTTGGAAAATAAGTTGACCCCTTCTTCTTCGTGGCAGCCCCTCAGATACTGGAATAAAGTGGTACTAATACTTCACGTGATTTTGATTCTGTGCCTTTATTTATACAATCAAGCATTGTGCTAGTTTTGTTGTTGTTGTTGCTGTTGCACACTGCTGGCTCATGTTTATGTGATTGTCCACCAGGACTCCCTCTCACAGTTACTGATTTTGAGCCAAGGTTCACCTAATCTATACTTGTACCTTTGGTTTTTCCTGCCTAGGTGTAAACATTGCTTTTCTCCACATTAAATTTCATTTTGTTGGATAGAACCCATTGTTTAAGTCTGTCAAGATCTTTTTGGATCCTGAGCCTGTCTTCTGGGGTGTTGACTATTCCTGCCAGTTTAGTTATCATCTGCAAGTTTGATGAGTTTCCCTTCTAAATCTCTCATCTAAATCATTTATAAAGATGCTGAAGAGTATTGGGCCTAAGATAGAACCTTGTGGTACAGGCCCCCCCCCCCCGCTTCTTCCCTCCATGTAGATGTTGTACCATTAAAGACGACTCATTGAGTACGAGTACGAATGTTGCTGTTGCTACTTTGACAATAGCATCAGCATAGCATTTCTTCTTTCTTCTGCTGGTCAAGCATGATGGAAAGAAAAATATGTGAATATTTGTGCGGTTATCAAGCAACCACATTTTTAATCTATTACTATCTTCCAAAGATACTGTTTAGCTAATCAATTAGCTGTAGAATGTCCATTTCGTAGTTATTCCCAATGATATAATAAAATTTAAAACTTGAAAGTAGGCTTAAAAATATGGAGATTACTAGAATACTGCATATTTTTTATACTATGCGCTGCTTTTGCTGTGGATGAGTAGTTGTGTTATGTGGTTTTACGTTTTAAGAACCTATACAATTTATCAGTTTAGCTTTATCAATTTTTTTGCTTGAGCACCTGAAATGTTGCAATCAGAATATTTCTTTTTGATCAGTTGATTACCTCATACTGTCCCAAATTTTTCAAAATGTCCGTGTATACTTGTGAATTCTAGATCCCATATATCTGGAAACACTTATATTAGAAATACTTGTATAAAAGTGAAACAACCATAAGTTCTGATTAGTTCATGGAGAATGTCCATAAAGCAGGGGTGTCAAACTCAATTTCATTGAAGGTCACCAACCCTCTGCCAGTGAAAATGGAGCTCTGGAGGGGATGGCCCTCCCGAGCTCCGTTTTCACTGGCAGACATGGCAGGAGGCCATGTAATCTGAAAATGGAGCTTGGGAGCCAGTTTCACTGGCAGAAGCACCACGGGCTGGTCCTTCGCTGTTTCCAGGATGGCCCCTCGCAGGCCAGATCTAAGTACCCCCGGGCTTTGAGTTTGACACCCTTGCCATAAATTATGCTGTGCATCAAGGAAAAGTGGAAAAGTTATGGCAAATAGACTTTGACATTGGTGATGTAACATAAAAGAGTTATATAAGTTCTCATCTGTAACCTACTGAAAATAACATCTGGGTGTTTCACATTTGTGTTATTAATTGAAATAGTGTATATGTGTGTGGATGTGGATGTTTGTAAAATATATGTAAAAATAAATTTGAATATATCTTTTAGAAGACACTAGATTAGGTTCCCAGTTGTGAGATACAGAAACATGCCCATATTTACCAATCCAGTGGGATTTGGAAGTTTAACACATATAATTGTGATCATTATAAACTGGAATTCTCTTATAGCAGCAAGATTAGTGCCTATACTCAGTAATTTAGAAAGAAGGAAAAGCATATATTCTTATTTTTTATATAAAATTAAGCCAGGGTTCAAATCCATCATAAAAGTAATAATATTCAACATTAAATAGTTTGGATTTTGTTAGAAATATTTTATTATTGCATATTTTATCAGTTGAATTCTGGCAGTCAACATTTTCTTTATATGTTGCTTTCTCGCAATTGTGCCCAAAGCAGGACAATCTATTACAATATTTAAATATTTGTATTGCAACAGCAGCTTAGCAAAAGTTAAGGCTGGGAGACCTACAAGTTGATCATAACACTACAATTTGATATAAATTTATAGTTTTACAACTAGAAATAATAATGACTGGGGTTGAATAGCCTTATAGTACCATCACTTTTGGAATAGTGGAGGGTAGGATAGTTTTAAATAAGAAATACTGACATTTTTACCTTTGCATTAGGAAACCATACAAATATAATAGATTAGGTTTTATGATTTTTAAAAAGGGATAACGAAATGCAGAGAGTATCTTCTCAAAAAATGGAATCTCTGAATAATGCTTGATAGGGATCCCAAAATTATTAAGAATTAAGCTTCTTAAGCATATTTCTTTAACTGTGTTGTTGAAGGCTATAAGATAAAGACATTTTTGTAAAATAAGTTAAACGCTTAATCATTGATTTATTGTAGAAATTTGTAAACTGCCTACTCACCAAACAAATTAACCCATAGTTCTGATTTTTTTAAAAAAATGTTTTATAAATTTATAAGCCTGCCCATCTCTATAACTCTGGGCAGCACAATAATGAAAATAAATATGTGGCATAGTTAAAAAAAACCACAAATGCCAGAAAGGGGGAAAAACATTAAAACTAATCCAAGCCCTGCCACCCACTTTAACCCAAGGCCTTTGGAGAGAACCAGGTTTTCAGAGCTCTTTTGGACTTGGCCAAATAGGGGCCAGATTTATCTTGGAGGGAATGATGTTCTGAAGGGCAGGTGCTTTAACAGAGAAGGCATCCTTCCTAGGCCCATTAGGTGATTCTGCTTAATGAATGGCACCTGAAGTATATTAGTTCTATCCATATAGAAAATGTAATAAAACAATTCCATATAAAATATTGTACTGTCCAACTATCTTCCCCTACTGCCAGCAACTGAGAACCTCACATTCTAAAAGCCCTACAAAAAAGAACTGTTCTGGTCACATCTAAATGAAGTTAGCAGATACCTTGGCTTTAATGGGCAGACTGTGTGAGCATGAGCAGTAGAGATAATGAGAAAGCTGTCCTTTAGGTTCTTGTTTCCTTCATGTTTTGGGTAAGTACCCACAATCTCTTTTCTGGCTTAGACCATATCAGATTGGCAGATTCCACTGATATGACATCTTTCAAAAAGGTAACAAGAACCCTAGTAATGTAAACCTGTATAGATACCCTGTTTCCCTGAAAATAAGACCTTCCCGGATAATAAGCCCAATCGGGTTTTTGAGTGCATACACTAAAATAATCCCTCCCTGAAAATAGCAGCAGCCATGAGGTGTCCACGCTCACCACCTCCTGCACCTCAAAAATAATAAGACCTCCCCCAAAATAAGGAAATAAGCTCTTATTTCAGGGGTCAAAAGACAGGGTCTTATTTTCGGGGAAACACGGTAGCCAGCAACATCTTGAACAGGACCTGGTGGTGCAGTGGTTAGAAAGCAGTATTGCAGCCTAAAACTGCTTAGGGCTATAAATCACTATGAAGCTGTATATAAATCTTAAATGCTAGTGTTAATATGTTCCCTCCAAAGCAAGGATTATTCTACTGAATTGATTAATGCAAGTTAGTAGGTGAGCAGCTGCATTTTGTGCCATTTGCAATTTCTGAGTTATCTTCAAGGGAAGTCCCATATTGAATGAATTGCATTCATCTAGCTGACCCAATGGCATGAATCACTGTCTTTTTCATGAAAAGGGACTGAGTCACTGTCTTTGTCATCTTCTGCTCCAGGACAGATTTGAAATGGCTGAGCAACTGAAGCTGCCAAGGCATCTTCTGGGCATGGCTTCCATTTGCTATTCTAGCAAGATCTGGAAATCTGAAAGGACCCCCAGATCAAAGTTCTCTTCGAGAGGAGTGCAGCCCTATTAACAGTAATAAATGGAACTTCCGTGCAGCTGGGTGGCTTTTCTCTTAATAACATATCTGTTTTGCTGAAATTCTGTATGATTCTATTCCACCCACCAGTTCCTCACAATTTCCAGGGCACTGGTTTAAGATTTCTGTTGCATTTTCTGCTCAGACTGAGATTGAGTTGTAATACTAGTACAGATAATCCTTGTTTAGCAACCACAATTGGGACCAGAACTTGGTTGTTAAGCAAAGTGGTCACTAAATGAAACCACAGCTGTACTTATGATCTTAATTCAGCTTTCCTTCACTTTAGAGACCTATGAAGGTTGTACACATGGGCATTGGTCATAAAGTTTATTTTTCATCACTCCTGTAACTATAAACGGTTGTTCAAGGCAGTCACTAAACAGGGACTACTTGCATTATTTACAGATTGATAATACCTAACTTAAAACAATAGATGAACTTGCCCAGAAACTTCATGTAGAGGTTAGATAGAATAAAGGAGAAATCTCCACCCTTGGGGATTCCACACTGAAGTGCCCAAGAGCTTAATTCTCTTATAAATTCCCATTGGAACTATCAGCTCAAGAAAGAGCAGAATATTGCCCCAGTCCCTAGTTTCAAAACAATCCAAATGGAGCCATGATAGATACTATCACATGCTGTTGAGAGATCTTGCAAGTCTACAAGAGTTAGGGGCTCCCATCCAAGTTCTGTCCCTTCATCCATAAATATAACCAGTGTCGTTTCTGTCTCATGCCTCAATCTATACCCTGAATAAAAAGGATGTAGATGGCTATCCAGGGCCTCTTCAGTTATTTAGATTTATATCTAAAGTAGGTTCTGTAGTCTACTATTAACACCAGGTGTGATTACTACATAAAGGAAAGAGCAAGCTACAAATTCTGCATATACATCATAACAAAAGCTATTGAACTTGAGGCTGCCAGAGAAGTAAAAATTCTGAAGTGTAATAATACTAACAAAAAATAACTCAGAGGTTAAAAGAATACTTCAGTGACAAAGATCAGGCTTCCTCTGCTCTCATCTACTTTATTCTAGTTTTCAGATTATTTGTTTGTACTTCTAGTCAATCCCATTTTAAGCAACATTTCAAAATTGAAAGACGAAACAATCATTAGAAATTCTGTTCACAATTAACAGCGCTATATTATTTTAAGGTATTTAAAAATGGCTGACCAGCCAGTTTCTACTCCTGGCAGCATAACAGCAGAAAAACAGGAAATGGCTCAGACTATAACTATTAAACCTAAAACACATGGATTGGAAAGCATGTGATTCAGACATAAAAGGAAATTACTTTTATAAAGAAAGTGTTGATTATTTAAAAAATATAGGCAACTGATCTGAGTTATTTACAGTCAAATGCTGCTAAATCAATAATTAGAATATTTTCAAATAGCACTATAGATTTATTTCAGTTTTGTCTTTAAACTCCTGCTCTAGAATTCTGCAGTGGGGAATATTTGAAACAATGTAGTTTCAGGTAAAAAGTGAGCAAGCTAGTGAAAGAACAATCTACCTCACCTTTGCAAATCCAATCAAATTCGCCACAGAAAAATAACATTCTCATCTAGGACAGAAGGTTATTGGTACCATTTCAGCTTTGTCAGCCCAAGCAACCTATGTAGCATATATAGATGAAGGAGACTCACATATTTTATGATCAAAAGAAAAATAAATGTGTTGTTGGAAGAAATGTCCTCATGCGTTCAGTTCCAAATAGGGAGAAAGACACTGGAAACATGGCGGCTGTTTGAAAAGATGGTTTTTAATGGTGGACAGGACCTCATGGTTTGAGGTCTTAGGGGGGAAAAGGGAAGAGATGCTGAGAGTGCCCTGGTCTTATGCCCTCTCTGGGCCCCACTCCAGAGCTTCTCGTTCCTGTGCAAGAAATGCACTCTGATTGGTGGTCAGATTCTCAGGGGCGGGGGTCTCAGCTCACTTTGTAAACTGTCTTTTGCGTCCCAAGCCTAGTTGAGCTGTTGCTGGGGGATGATGTACTGAAAAGGCTTTGGAATTCCTATTATGGCTCTGCCTGAAGCAGGTAGATCTTTGTTATGCAGAATAGACTGGCTCAGGCCTTAATGGTCCATTGACAAAGGTGGGGGGGCAGGGAGCTGCAGGGAGCTGCTTTGTCTTTAAAACATGTTTCTCCTTTTCTCATCCAAAGAAATATAATATTCTGCCTTTTCTTTGGTAAATTTTAATTTTAATTTTTGCGTAAACACAAACAAACACAAAGAATCCTTTTTCTTTGCATACTATAGAAAGTGTGTCAATTGGTTACAAAAAGTTTTTGTGCATTTCTTCCACAGTCATCATCTATAATTCATATCAAATCATATATTTTATATCAA